GAGGAGTGAGTGAGGAGTGAGTAGTGAGTGAGTGAGGAGTGAATAGTGAGTAGTGAGTGAGTGAGTGAGGAGTGAGTGAGGAGTGAGTGAGGAGTGAGTGAGGAGTGAGTGAGGAGTGAGTGAGGAGTGAGTGAGGAGTGAGTGAGGAGTGAGTGAGGAGTGAGTGAGGAGTGAGTGAGGAGTGAGTGAGGAGTGAGTGAGGAGTGAGTGAGGAGTGAGTGAGGAGTGAGTGAGGAGTGAGTGAGGAGTGAGTGAGGAGTGAGTGAGGAGTGAGTGAGGAGTGAGTGAGGAGTGAGTGAGGAGTGAGTGAGGAGTGAGTGAGGAGTGAGTGAGGAGTGAGTGAGGAGTGAGTGAGGAGTGAGTGAGGAGTGAGTGAGGAGTGAGTGAGGAGTGAGTGAGGAGTGAGTGAGGAGTGAGTGAGGAGTGAGTGAGGAGTGAGTGAGGAGTGAGTGAGGAGTGAGTGAGGAGTGAGTGAGGAGTGAGTGAGGAGTGAGTGAGGAGTGAGTGAGGAGTGAGTGAGGAGTGAGTGAGGAGTGAGTGAGGAGTGAGTGAGGAGTGAGTGAGGAGTGAGTGAGGAGTGAGTGAGGAGTGAGTGAGGAGTGAGTGAGGAGTGAGTGAGGAGTGAGTGAGGAGTGAGTGAGGAGTGAGTGAGGAGTGAGTGAGGAGTGAGTGAGGAGTGAGTGAGGAGTGAGTGAGGAGTGAGTGAGGAGTGAGTGAGGAGTGAGTGAGGAGTGAGTGAGGAGTGAGTGAGGAGTGAGTGAGGAGTGAGTGAGGAGTGAGTGAGGAGTGAGTGAGGAGTGAGTGAGGAGTGAGTGAGGAGTGAGTGAGGAGTGAGTGAGGAGTGAGTGAGGAGTGAGTGAGGAGTGAGTGAGGAGTGAGTGAGGAGTGAGTGAGGAGTGAGTGAGGAGTGAGTGAGGAGTGAGTGAGGAGTGAGTGAGGAGTGAGTGAGGAGTGAGTGAGGAGTGAGTGAGGAGTGAGTGAGGAGTGAGTGAGGAGTGAGTGAGGAGTGAGTGAGGAGTGAGTGAGGAGTGAGTGAGGAGTGAGTGAGGAGTGAGTGAGGAGTGAGTGAGGAGTGAGTGAGGAGTGAGTGAGGAGTGAGTGAGGAGTGAGTGAGGAGTGAGTGAGGAGTGAGTGAGGAGTGAGTGAGGAGTGAGTGAGGAGTGAGTGAGGAGTGAGTGAGGAGTGAGTGAGGAGTGAGTGAGGAGTGAGTGAGGAGTGAGTGAGGAGTGAGTGAGGAGTGAGTGAGGAGTGAGTGAGGAGTGAGTGAGGAGTGAGTGAGGAGTGAGTGAGGAGTGAGTGAGGAGTGAGTGAGGAGTGAGTGAGGAGTGAGTGAGGAGTGAGTGAGGAGTGAGTGAGGAGTGAGTGAGGAGTGAGTGAGGAGTGAGTGAGGAGTGAGTGAGGAGTGAGTGAGGAGTGAGTGAGGAGTGAGTGAGTGAGTGAGTGAGTGAGTGAGTGTTCCCACGGTTCTCTTCCCCCTCATTTGGTGGTCTGGACCTATTGTGAGCACACAAATGGCTTGCTGCGAGCCGCTTGTGCTGGTCTGAAGGAGTTCTCCACACAGACTGCTTTCCAGCCGTGATCCCTCGTCTTTTACTATCGGCAAAGCTGTCGTGGCGCGTCCTGAAGAAACCTGCAGAAGAAATGCTGGCCCGGTTCTCACTTAGCCGGGCTTCCAAGCGTGGCACTAAAGGTCAGTGCTTCACTCCTGTGGAACCCCAGCCCTCTTCTGCATTCGTTTCCCTCTTCTTTCCAGTCCTGTAATCTGATAGACCGTGTGGGGAGAGGCAAGAGAGGGCGGGGGAGGAGTGTGTGATGTAACCTCTGACTCCGGTGAAGTTCCGCGACGGCCCCGCGGTGCCTGCGGCTCACGGTGGGGTTTTGGTGCCGCCGCTGGGAGACTGAAGAGGAGGCACGAAGATCCACCAGGGCTGTGGGAGACCTAGCCTGTGACTCACCTCCCTTGTGGAGAGGAAAGCTGAGCCCAGGCTGCAGCTCCTTGTCTTGCCGGCTCTACCTGCGCCGCGACCGGCTGGGGACACCTCTGGAGAAAGGGATGCTCGGAGGCAGCTGCGCTGCTGCGGTGAGTCTGCTCCTCCTTCCTGGCTTTTCCCGACGGTTTGGGGGGACAAGGAAGGGAAGCGGAGTGAGCTGGAATGCGTGTGGATTTTTTGGGGGCATATAACCGTGTGGAATCCCTGCTGGATTGACTCTGAGCCAGTTGATAATCACCGACTAATCTGGGTGCTGGCAGAGTCCACCCAGATTACAAGGGCATGTGGCTGCGTGTCAGGATGGGTGTGACACTTCCCAGGGGTCTCGGGTTTTGTGTCAGAGGGTCATCCCAAAAAAGGGGTCGACTGCAAAGATCAACCGCAGGAGAGAAATTTGGTGGTGTCTGTCACGATGTGGGGCGTGGATGTCACAGTCTGTGAGGAGGAGTCAAAGGAGAAAACGTGCTTTTCTCAATGCCAGCAGGAGATGAAACTGGGAGGAAGCTGGTCCTGTATATCTGCTAATGGATCAGGTAGCACTAGCTGTTGAAACTAACTGCAGAAAAGTGTTTTCTAGGAGAACTTCCAAGAGCCGTTGAAAACATCTCCTTGCTAAAGGAAAGAAGTGAAGAGGAAGATCATCATAATATGTACGAGTATTCTACTTTATCTACTATATTCTACTTTATCTACTATATTCTACTTTATCTACTATGTTCCAGAATCTATACAAGATAAAGTTAATGTATAAACTGGGGCCTCAGAAAGCCAAATAACACCTCTGGAGCTGTGCTGAATGAATCCCTAGCTGCCTTCCAGCACTGGGAATATCCAATAATACCTGCAGAAGGATGCAGTTATGAAACCTGGTGTGTGTCCTCACATGAATGTTGTGCACACACTGCTTTAGGAAAGAATGCCACATGACTGATTTCCCCATGGTACTGGCAGTTCCCTCCTGGCTCTGGCAGATCACATGCAGCTGCTCAGAGCATTTTTTTTATTTTTTTTCAGAAGTGAAACCACCATCAAATATCAAAATCTGGAAATTGAATAAGTTATTTAAATTTATAAATAAATAAAACCTGGAAGTTAAATAGCTAATCATTGCGGGGGGGGGGGGGGGGGGGGGGGATGTTC